GGTTACCCAGAAGGTGGCTGGACCTGTCAGAGGGGTATGCAGAGCTGGACACCAGGATATGGGAGGCACCTCAGAGATGAGGCCACAGAAGCCATGGGAGGAGGTGAAATCTCCAGGAGGTGTATACAGAGGGAGAGGATGAGATGACACAGGGCCAAGCTCTGAGGAACTCCAACATTTACAAATTGGGTGAAGAGGGGTCCAAAACAGACTGAGAAAAGGGTCCGTATGGCTAATGTGGAGGATGGGCAAGGATCAGCTCCTGAAGGGCTTTGGATGCCAGGCTGAGGGCAGTGGGGAGCCATGGAAGACATCAGAGCAGTAGAGTGTCAGACCTTCAGAAAGGTGACTGTGGTGGCTGAGATGAAATCCAGACTGCAGCCAAGTTACCCAGGGGTTAGAGGTGATCCATGTGGGCCCTTGTTGGTTGAATATGTTGACTTTCCCCAGGAGTCTTGGGCCTGCCAGATGGTTACTAACCACTGCCACATGCAGGAAAGTTCACACTGGGGTGGACCTGGAGATCATCTTTTACAGCCAACCCAGTTTCAGATGGGAAACTGAAGCCCAGTGCACACAGCCAATCAATGGAGGAGTCAGGATTAGAACCCAGCTGCTTATGGTGTGTGTGTGTGTGTGTGTGTGTGTGTGTGTGTGTGTGTGTACGCGTGCGCGCCCGCATTTAGTAAGAAAGCCCTCTTGATTTACATTTTTCACTTCACTTGGGGCTCAGCATGGATACCCCTCCCCAGAGAGGCCCTTCTGGACCACTTCGTCTAATAGGATTGCTCTCTATCCTCTTATTCTGTGTATTAGTGCCCTGGGGCTTCTGTGACAAATGACCATGAACTGAATATAACCCCACCCACCCACACACACACACCCCAAAACAAAATTTTCTTCGCTCACAGTCCAGAAGTCTGAAATGCAGGTGTCAGCAGGGCCGCACTGCCTCTGAAGGCTCTAGGGCAGGATTCTTCCTGCCTCTTCTAGCTTCTGGTGGCCCCAGGCATCCCTTGGCCATATCACTCCAATCTGCGTCCATCTTCATATGGCCTTCTCCTCCTCCATGTGTCAAGTCTCCCTCTCCCTCTCTCTTCAGGGACACTTGTGATTGTAATTAGGATCTACCTGGATAATATTCCATCTCAAGGTCCTTAATCCCATCTACAATGATTTTTCCATATAAAGTCATATTCCCAGGTTCTAAGGATTAGGATATGGTGTTTTTGGGGAGAGTAATATACAGCCCCCCTCAACCCCCACTTTACCTCCTTCATGAAACATAGCGTTTAAAATATATATTTTTTTTATCCTCACCTGAGGACATTTTTTCATTTTTGTTTAGATAAAGTGAGAGGGAGAGAGAGGAAGAGAGAGAGAGAGAGAAACATCGACGTGAAAAGGACACATCAAGTGACTACCTCCCTCACAACCCAACCAAGGCCGGGGACAAACTGCAACCGAGGTACGTGCCCTTATTGGGAACCGAACCCGGGTCTCTCTGGTCTGCGGGCCGACGCTCTAACTGCTGAGCCAAACCGGTCAGGGCTAAACTGTTTTTCTTTATTGATGTTACAGAGGAAGGGAGAGAGAGAGGGGGAGAGAGATAGAAACATCTATGAGAGATAACATCAATTGGCCACCTCCTGCATGCCCCCCGCTGGGGAATCGAACTGGCAACCTCTTGGTGCATGGGTAGATGCTCAACCACTGAGCTACACCTGCCAGGCAAAATGTAACTTTTATATGGTGTTTTATCATGTCTATTGGTGGCCCCTGAGGACCAGGACCATGTCTGTTCTGCTCACCATTATATCCTGAGGGCTCAGAACAGTGACACACATAGCAGGGACTCAAAAATGATCTGCCAGTGGAATGCTGGAGAAATGCCCACTGAGCACTTGGCAAAGGGCCTGGCATGTGAAAGCATTTAGAGGAAAGTCACAATTCATAGTAGTAATCATTAGCTGGCTTCCTGGCTTCTCCACTGGGAACAATCATCATCCACCCTTAAATTTATAAAGAAACAAATACCCATGGCTACTTCCCGTCAAGAGTGTCACCTGGATCTGCCTGTGTGAGAGGCAGCCCAATTGCACATCAGCATCCATGATGCAGAACATCTGCTGAGACTTGTGCTTCATATCGAGAGGTTGCCTACTCCCCACCTCTACCCCTATCTGGACATTTTAAAGGGCAGATCACTATATCAGGCAGTCTGTATTTTAAAAAAGATTTTAAATTGTGGTAAAACACATATAGCATTTACTATCGTAACCATTTTAAAGGTACAGTTCTGTGGCATTAAGTACATTCATATTGTTGTGCACCCATCACCACCATCCATCTCCAAAACCTTTCATCTTCCCAGACTCAAACTCTGTACCCACTAAACACTAACTCCCCATTCCCCTCCCCCAGCCCCTGGCACCTACCCTTATGTCTCTAAGAGTGTGCCTACTCTCAGAAACTCATGTAAGTGGGATCACACAGTATTTGTTTTTTTGTGACTGGCTTATTTCATCTGATACAATGTCCTTGAGGTTCATTCATGTTGTAACGTGTGTCGGAATTTCCTCATCAAGGCTGAATGAGCCCTGGCCAGTTTGGCTCAGCAGTTGGAGCATCAGCCTGCGGACCAGAGAGTCCCAGGTTTGGTTCCCGCTAAGGGCACGTACTTCGGTTGCAGTTTGTCCCCGGCCCTGGTTGGGGTAGTGTGAGTGGCAACCACTCTATGTGTCTCTTTCACATCAATGTTTCTCTCTCTCTCTTCCTCCCTCCCTCCCTCCCACTCTATCTGAAGATAAATGCAAAAAAAAAAAAAAAAGGCTGAATGATATTCCATTGTGTGGATATACCTTATTTTGTTTTTCCGTTCATCTATCCATGAACACTTGAGCTGCTTCCACCTTTTGGCCACTATGAATAACACTGCTATAAACATGAATGTACAAATACCCGAGTCTCTACTTTTACTTCTTTCGGAGATATATCCAGAAATGGGATTGGTGGCACATATGGTAATTCTGTTTAATTTCTTTTGAGGAATTTAAAGCATAAAACTTTTCCACAACATGGCTGTACTATTTAAATTTCCACCAGAAATGCATACCGATTTTGATTTCTCTGCATTCTTGCCAACACTTGTTATTTATTTATTTTTTTTGATAGTAGCCTTCCTAATGAGTGGTCATGTTATCTTCATATTAAGTCAGACCATCCCAGTAGGCCTCTCCAAATTTGGTGATGATCTACCCAGATCTTTGCTGAGGATGCAGTAACCAATAGAAACTTCATGTCTTCTCTTCTGCATGATTGATGTGGTTGGCCGTCAGCAGGTAGAAGAACCTGTGAGTCTGAGCCCCAGGGGCGCCAGGTGAGGGCCTGGAGTGCTGGGTTTCTTTATCTGTGTTGCCGAGGAGGTAGGAGCATAGAGGGAACCCTTGTCTAGTAGAACTGAATGGAAAGAAGAGGTGAGGACAGGACCCACCATTTTCAGGAATCTTCTTGGCATTGTCTGAAATCCATGGGTTCTCAATGTGAGGGTGATTGAGTTTGATCTCTGGTGATGTCTTTGCCAGCTCTTGTCTCCCTTTAGCTGAGGAAACTGACCTTGAGTTGTCTGGAAAATGGAGAGGATGATAGGAACTCCCTCCAAGGACTGCTTTAAGATCCCATGAGACAAGGCATCCACATCCCTAAGCGTGGAGCATGGCACGTAGGAATGGCACCATGCCAGGTCAATGCGTTATTCATATTATTGTTATCCACCCACTTTGTTTTGGTTGGTTCCTTCAGGAGCTGACCCTAGATCAAGGATTTGAGTGCAAGTAGTTTATCTGGGAAGTGAGCACAGAAAAAGCCAGTAAGGAAGAGGGACATGGACCTGAAAGAATTGAAAATGGGGACTCAAACCAACACATGTCCACATAGGTTTATAGCAGTACATGTCCTAATAGGCAAAAGGTGGAAACATCTGAGATGTTCATCAACAGATGAATGAGTAAACAAATTGTGATATATCCTTATAATGGACTATCACTCAGCAGAGAAATAAAGCACTGACACACACTACAACGTGGATAAACCTCGAGAACATCATGCTGAGTGAAAGAAGCCAGACCCAGATGCCAAGCACTTGTTGTATGATTCCATTGATATGAAATGTCCAGAATAGGCACATCCACAAAGACAGAAAATAGGTTAGTGGTTGACAGGGGCTGAAGGTATGGGGGAGTGACTGTTCATGGGGACGTGTTTCCTTTTGGGGTGATGAAAACATTTTGGGACTAGATAGAGATGTTGGCTGATACTAGGTACCACTGAATTGTGCGCTTTAAAATGGTTCATTCTAGCCCTGGCCGGTTTGGCTCAGTGGTTGGAGCGTTGGCTAGCGGACCAGAGAGTCCCGGGTTTGGTTCCTGCTAGGGGCATGTACCAAAAAAAAAAAAAAAAGTTAATTCTATGTTGTGTGACTCTCACCTCCATTGAAAGAAGGAGCGGGGAAGAGAAGAAAGAAGGAAGTGAGGCATTTGATAGAGAGATTTTCTATGGTGGGCAGCTGGAGTTTAATCCCATTGGTAATGCATGTGGAACCCACACCTCAGGGTCATTGCACCCAAGGGGAGAAGGTGCTGGAGTATTTATCTAGCAATGCTCATCAGACATTGATGAGAGTTGCTTCTGGGGCAAAGTATGTCTTAATTTTCCAGCATCCTGGCTAGCCATTGGGACAGAGAAGTCAGGAGGAATGCCCTGCAGTCAAGGCTGAGGGCACACGGCGGGGCACTGGTGCATCCATCTGGCCAGCTGCCTGGAGGTCACTGCTGAGGACAGGAGAGACATGTACTCCTGGCATCTGGAACTCACATCTATGGAGCACCTACTGTGTGCCAGGCACACCACGCTTGACTCCACAGGTCACCATGCGTATGGCACACATGTGGCTGGAGGCCGGTTTCCATCTGCAGTGACCTCTGTCCCATGTGTTCCCCCAGGATGCTGCCCATCACAGGACATGTGCTGCGCCTTCTGGGACTGGAGAAGACCACCTTCCGCTTGTATGCCCTGTCTGTGCTCCTGCTCTCCCTGCTCTTCTTCCTCTTCCGCCTGCTGCTGCGGTTCCTGAGGCTCTGCTGGCGCTTCCGCGTCACCTGCCGCCGGCTGCGCTGCTTCCCGCAGCCGCCCGGGGGCAGCTGGCTGCTGGGCCACCTGAACACGGTGTGTGTGGGCTGGGTGGGCAGATCCCATGCGTTCGGGGAGTCTGATGGATTGCTGGCTTCCTGCTCCCCTGACCCCGAAGAATCTGGTTGGAGCCAAGATGGCGAGGCTGAGGCTCAGAAAGGGCAGTTTGCCCGAGGTCACACAGCAGGGCTGAGGCAGAGCTTACTGCAACATTTTCTCTGTAATTCCAGGCTATTGCTGTACCTTTCAAATGATAGATGTTATAGTCTATGATGTATAAGACATAATATATTCAGAAAACAGGTACCAATGCCCATGAAGTTCATCAAGTTCTAGGACCTTGGTGGGGTGGGGGGGTGGGGTGGGGGCATGCTCCTATCGATTTTGTTGCTCCATCCCCAGCCCCAACATGGTTCCATACTTTCTCTCCCTCTTTAATGCTATAGTCCCAGGTCAGGACCCCAACACTTTTGTTGATCTTTCTTTCTTTCTTTCTTTCTTTCTTTCTTTCTTTCTTTCTTTCTTTCTTTCTTTCTTTCTTTCTTTCTTTCTTTCTTTCTTTCTTCCTCCCTTCCTCCCTTCCTCCCTTCCTTCCTTCCTTCCTTCCTTCCTCTCTCTTTCTTCCTTCCTTCCTTCCTTCCTTCCTTCCTTCCTTCCTTCCTTCCTTTCTCCCTTTCTCCTTTCTCCCTTTCTCCCTTTCTCCCTTCCTCCCTTCCTCCCTTCCCCTCCCTTCCTCACTCCCTCCCTTTCTCCTCATCTGAGGATATATATAATTGATTTTAGAGAGCCCTGGCTGGTGTAGCTCAGTTTGTTGGGCATTGTTTGGTGCACGGAAAGGTTGCCAGTTGGATTCCTGGTCAGGTCACAGTGCACTTACTCCAGGAAATCTCTGGTTTGGATAGTGGTCCTAGAGGTAACAGTTAGGCCCTGGCATGCCAGGCAATTGACCAGGGCCAGTTCTGAAGCCCATCCTTGGTCTCATGGACCCAGCCCATCTCCCTAGTCCACGAGACTAGGTGAGGCCATGATGTCCCTTGGGTGTGAACAGTCTCAAGGCTGATCCTGATAGAGAAGGAGACATAGGAACTAGAGAGGAGTCATTTGTTCATTTATTTACTCCATAGTAGCTGGACCCTACTACTGGCCAGGCACTGGGTTAGGCCCCTTCGGATCAGAGCTCTCCCCTAAATCTCACAGCCTGTGAGTTAGGGATGGGTCTGCCCTATATTATGGATTCAATCTTTGGGGCTCAGAGAGGTTAATGACGTGCCCAAGGTCACACAGAGGCTGAGGGTAGATTTGAGTTCAGATCCATCTGACATTGAGCCTGAAGTGCTTCTGCTTCATAGAGCATGCTGGTTAAGAGCAGGCATTTTAGCCCTGGCCAGTTTGGCTCAGCAGTTGGAGCTTCGGCCTGCGGACCAGAGAGTCCTGGGTTCGGTTCTCGCTAGGGGCACGTACCAAAAAAAAAAAAAAAAAAAGAGAGAGAGAGAGAGAGAGAGAGAGAGAGAGAGAGCAGGCATTTTGGAGCTGGATGGCTTGTGTTCAAATCCTGGCTTTGCTACAATGGCAGGTGGTGCCACTACCTGTCCATATCCTTTGGGCCCATTTCTGGGTGCAATGGCCTGACCTTTGGGTGGGTTGACTCTGAGACACATGTCCCCCAGAGTTCCCCTGTGGCACTGAGCCCTGGTTGCCCATGGTGGTAATTTCCTTGACAACTCACTCTTTACTGACTGCCTTCCCTCGTTTTGTCACCTCCCCACTTCCTTACCCGTGGATTTTAGAAATCACCATCCCAAATAAGCCTCTTGCTCTAGAACCCTGTCTCAGAACCTGTTTCTGGAGAGGCCAAACCAGGACAGTCACTTACTGACCTGTCACTTTAGACAAAGAAATAATAGCAACTCTATCACTGGGTTCTTGTGTGAGTTGAACATATAAATCTATGAAAAATGCCCTGAGCAGTGCCCAACATTGCAAGCACACATATATGTTAAATGTGACAGTAGTAGTAATATTTTATTACTAACAGAGCAAGAACTTGGTAAATGCTAACCGTTATCATTATTGTGTTTACTGTCCCTGTTTTTTATTAATCCTCACCTGAGGATATTTTTCTCTTGCTTTTAGAGAGAGTAAAAGGGAGGGAGGGAGGGAGGGAAGGAGGGAGAGAGAGAGAGAGAGAGAGAAACATCAGTGTGAGAGAGTCACATTGACTGGTTGCCTCCCACGTGACCTCGACCAGGGCTGGGGATCAAACCTGCAACCCAGGTACATGCCCTTGACTAGAATAAAACCTGCGACCCTTTAGTGCACAGGCCAACGCTATAACCACTGAGCAACACAGGCCAGGGCCTGTCCCTGTTTTTATTTCTTGAACATCAGCTGTGTGTCAGGCCCCATGTTAGGGTTCCCATGCTTTGTTATTTCATGAATCCTCTCAACTTTCGTTGGACAGAGTTGATTCTTCCCCACTTTTCAGATAAGAAGGTGGAGGCTCAGCAAGTTTCAGCCAACTGTCTACAATCATGTAGCACTTCTTGGCTTGTTTTGAGGACAGGGGAGGTGTCAAGAGGAAAGAACTGGGGGAAGCTGGAGCTGGGCACCTCCTCACTATCCTTCCGTACCATCCCCCACAGTATCTCCCGAATGAGACGGGCCTCCAGAATGAGAAGAAGGTGCTGGACAACATGCACCATGTAATTCTGGTGTGGATTGGACCTGTCCTGCCACTCTTGGTTCTGGTGCACCCTGACTACATCAAACCCCTTTTGGGAGCTTCAGGTAGGTGGCCTGGGCCTCTGAGTGATGGGTAAACCCCCAACTCCCAGAGTCCACCAGGGCTTCTAGGCAGGTGGGCTATCCAGAAGAAGGGTCATTTGAGTAGGGCTTTGAAGGATGAATAGGAGTTCACCAAAGCAGAAATAGCAATACAGAGAGTGGGAACAGCATGGGAAAAGGTGTGGCTAATAGAGTCCCATGAACTTTGAGAGGATGCCCATCCACTGGAGGTCAGAAATAAACACGTTCGGATAAGTAGTTGTTTGTTCACAATTTTGTTAACTGGTTGTTACTCAATTCTAATGGCATTCTCATCATTTGGGTTCTGACTATTCCAACCTTTAACCTTCTTTCTTTACCTGGGCTGACTCTGACTGGTGGAGAGGAAAATATAGAAGGATTGTTTCTTCCTTCTGCAGTCCACACCTACCCGATGGGGCAGGACTCCCAAGTGTACTTGTCAAGCTCTTGTTTCACCCTTAACACCCTTAACTCCGATGACCCTCCCCTTCTCCAGGAAGGTTTCCCTCCATAGCCGTCTATTCTGGACTTTCCCATTCTCAGTCCTAACCATTCGGGGCTGAGTATGTCTGTGTTTGACTCTATCTTTTTCATAAGTGGGGCTCTGGATCCTCAGTGTGGTCTCTCATGTAGCTGGATACTTCCAAAAGCATCAGGGGACATTTGAGAGAGCAGGGATGGGAAAGAAAGAGCCCCAGGAATTTTAGGATCCCTTGCCTCCACTTGGGCCTCTACACACACACATCTGGAGATTGCCTTTGAGGATGGCACTGGGAGCTGCCATTCTTCCCTACCTGAGTGATGCCCTCCTCATGCCTCTATGTCCCCATTGTTGTGTTTGTGAGGGAGACCCTCCCCACTGCACAAAGGGGGAAACTGAGACCCTGGGAGAGATGACTCTTCCAATGGATGAGCACTAAGTGTGGGAAGAACCCTGGGGCCAGGACTTGGGTGGGCTGCCTTAGAATCCTGACTGGAGCACATTCTTGCTTTGTGACTCAGAAATTCATCCAGCCCCTCAGGGCCTCAGTTTCTGATCTGTAAAAAGGGACTGTTATGAAGATTTAAAAATATAATGTAGGCAGGTGCTAATAAGGGTTTCTTCTCTTTTGCCTTTTTAATGTACTTTGTTTTCTTTCTCTTCCTGACTTTCTTTTTTCCTTCTCATCCACCCCTTCCCTCTCCTCCTCAGAGCATCAGTTTCCTAAGTATCATCCTGCATGGTTTGAGACTCCAAGTAGAGCCCCAGCATGGGCTTGACACTTAGCAGATGCTCAAGTTTTTTCCTCTCCTCTTCCCTCCCTGAGGACAGGCAGGATATCCACCGCCTACCCCACTAGAGGAGCAGGATGGGGGACTTCAGGTTGGGAAGGGTGGAGCTGTGAGTCAGGCGAGGCCCGGCCTTAGGGTGCCTCTGCCCCTCCATGCCTGCTCACCTGGAATGGGTCAGGCCTTGCCCAAATCTCAGATGCCATCTCCCTCCGGGGCCTTCTTGGGGGCCACCCCTGGGGGTCTTGCTGCTTTGAGCTTAAACCAGCACAGCTGATGGGCCCCGAGGAAGGCATGAGTCCTCTTGGAACCTCTGCGGGTTTTTTTTTTTTTTTTTCAATCTTCTAATGGGCATTTGGGATAGAGAACATTAATGGAAGAAAGTAGGTGAAAATACTTTACAGAGGACAAGGCATAATCTATAGGCATATAATTATAGCATGTTTTATACATTCATTTTTTTATTGAGATGAAATTCACATAACATATAATTAACCATTTTAAAGTGTAAAATCTTAGCGTGTAAGATAATTAGTGTGTCCACAATGTTGTGCAATAATCAGCTCTAGTTTCAAAATGTTTTCATGACCCCATAAAACACCCTGCGCCTATTAAGTAATCACTTGCCATTTCCCCATCTCCTATGGATTTTTTCTACTTTGGATATATCATAGGAAAGGAATTATACAGAATGTGGTCTTTTGTGACTGAATTCTTGCACTCAGCATGTTTTTGAGATTCATCCACGTTGTATCAATTATTAGGACTTTATTCCTTTTATTTTATTTTATCTTTTTAACCCTCACCCAAGGATATATTTACATTATCATCTGATAGAGTGGGAGGGAGGGAGGGTGAGAAAGGGAGAGAGAGAAATATCGATGTGAGAGACACATCAACTGGTTGCCTCCCGCATGACCTGACCAGGGCCGGGGACGAACTGAAACCGAGGTACGTGCCTTTGACCAGAATCAAACCCACGACTCTTTGGTCCCCAGGCTGACACTCTAACCGCTGAGCCAAAATGGTCAGGGCAGGACTTCATTTCTTTTTTTTTTAACTTATCGTTATTATTGAATATATTACAGATGTTCCTCCTTTTTCCCCTATTGACCCCCTGTTTGTCTCTCTCTCTCCGCGCCTGCCCCCTTCCTGCCTTTCCCCACACTGTTGTCTGTGTCCATTGATTATGCATATATGCACAGAAGTTCTCTGGTTTATTTCTTCCCACCCTCCCACCCCCCTTTCCTTTGAGGTTGGTCAGTCTAACAACCAATTTGTACTTCTTAATCTCTTCACCTTTTTCACCCATTCTCCCAACCCCCCTCCCATCTACTTTATTCCTTTTTAAAGGCTGAGTAATAGTCTATTATATGCATATACCATAATTTGTTTATACACTCATCTGTTGTTGCTTCTACCTTTTGGCTGTTATAAATAAAGCTGGTAAGAATATGTGTGTACAAGTTTTAGTGCGGACATTTTTTTTTTATTTCTCTTGGATAGATACCTAGGAGTATTTACCAAAAAAAATTGTGGGGTCATATGATAATTCTATGTTTAACATTTAAGGAACCTCCAAACTGTTTTCATAGCAGCTATGCATTCAGTTTTTACTAACAGGGATACCATAAGGCAGGCAGGATTGTTCTGTTTTTCCTTTGGCAGCTGAGGACATGGAGGGGCACAGTAGTAACATGTCCAGGTTTACACAAGTAGTTAGTGGTAGGGCTGGAATTTGAACTCAGACTTGGCCAGCCCAGAGACCAAGCTCTTAACCAGAGTGATATGCAGCTTCCTACTGGGCACTGTGTGTGGGCTTGCCTTCCTTCCTTCCTTCCTTCCTTCCTTCCTTCCTTCCTTCCTTCCTTCCTTCCTTCCTTCCTTCCTTCCTTCCTAGAGGATATTTATTTTACCATTGGTTTTTTTTAGAGAGAGTGGAAGTGAGAGAGGATGGGAGAGAGAGACACAGAGGGGGGGGAGAGGGAGAGAGAGAGACAAACAGAGAGAGAGAGAGAGAGGGAGGGAGAGAGAGAGAGAGAGAGAGAGAGAGAGAGAGAACATCTATGTGAGAGAGACATATCGTTTGGTTGCCTCCTGCATGGGGGATCGAATCTGGGTACATGCCCTTGACAAAGAATTGAATCCAAGACCCTTTGGTGTGTTGGCTGATGATCTATCCACTGAGCAACATTGTCCAGGGTGGGAGCTTTTCTTATATGACCTCTTTCAGAGTATACTTTACTATCCCCTTTTTACTGGAGGGAAAATTTATGGAAGAGGCAGCCTGAATACAAACTCTCCTGGCTTTGAGTGGTTAAGGTTGGAGCAAAGGAGAAACCCAAAGATGGGAAAACAAGGGTTCAGTTGGGGAGAGGGTTTGGAGAAGACTTTCTGGAGGAGGCATTAGGGAATCTGGACTTTGAAGGATGCATAGAAGTTTGCCAGATGAGTATTTCAAGTGGAGGATCCTGCCAGTACAAAGGCTCAGATATGTGTAAGTGCCAGGGGAATTCAGGTGACTTGGGTTCTCTGGGGTGAAGATGATGTGTGGAGAAGTAAAAAATGAGACAGGAAGGAGCTGGACTCAGAGTAACTTTGTGCAAAGTGAATGAGCTTGCGTTTTACCCTGGAGTGATTGGGAGCCATGGAGGTGTTTGAGAAGGACCACCACTGGACAGGTCTGTGAGTCAGAAAGACTTCCGTGGGGGGGGTCCTAGCCTGGAGTTCGGAGAAGAGAGGAATGATTAGACTCCCACTTTCCTCTCCAATATTTTCTCTTCCAGGAAGCTTGCCTTGACTTCCATCAGCCTTTTCTCTGTGCCTCCCTTCTCTCCTGGCACACTTCCTACCTTCTTGATAATTGCATGATGTGCCTCTGCTTCCCTTTCTCACTCCACCCTGAGCTCCTCCAGGCAGGGTGTGGAGCTGAGCCATCTCTGGGTCTCCAGCATCATCCAGCATGGGTTGGGCACAGAAAGGTGGCAGAAGAGGTGTGTGTTAAATGGGAGAATGAATGAGTAGACAGATGACTGCATGATTGGCCAATTCCTGGGGAGTGTGTGTGCAGGCGGCTGAGTCACAGCTCTGGTAAAATGTGACTTCACTTGCGTTTCAAGTACTTCTTTCCTGGGCCCCTGCCCATTCTATCCCAAATCTGTTTAGCATATAGAAAGGGAACTCAGTTAGTCACTCTCTCACTTACCCATTCATTTATTTATCCATTCACTAATTTGTTCACCTTTTCATTCATTCATTCGTTCATTCTTCGTTTGTTCGTTCATTCATTGGTTCATTCATTCATACAATAAAAACTTACTTAGCACCAACATATCAGTGATCAGACATAGTCCCTCTCCTCCAGGGGATTGTAACTTGATGGACACAATCCAGAGTGGTTGGTGGTGGAGGGTATGGCATGCAAGCACAGACTAGAAGGATGAGAAAACAGTGTTTGAGGCAGAGAGGGCATGTGATGGAAAGTCTCAGAGCAGAGAGAGAACACAGTTTTTTCCAAGGAGCTGAGAAAAGTTTTGTGATGTTAGAACATTAAGTGTGTTGGGGGTGGGATGGTGATAGAGATGCCTGAATGTCTTTGGAGAGCTCTGGACTGGGATAGATCATTCCGAGTTTTGAAAATGGGGTGAGCAACTGGTGCAGGAAAGGGACATAGTTTGATCTAGTCGGATAAGATCCTCATTGGGCCAGGGTTCAGGATAGGCTAGAGAGGGCAAGGCTGGAGGCTGGGAGCACAGAAGGTATAATTCAGATGGCCTGAGCTTGTGGAAAAGTAGGGATGGATTAAGTTGAAGAAGGCCATTCTGGATGGGGAGCACAACTCAGGCAAAGGTTTGGAAGTGAGAGACATCATGTGGGATTATTTAGTGGATGTTGATAACAAGGTGGGAGAGACACACAGGAGCAAGATGGGACAGAGATTTTGATGCTAACCAGAGCTTGAACTTTTTTTACCAGGGTGATAGGGAGCCAATGGGAGGTGTTTGAGCAGGGGAGCCTCATGTTCAGGTCAGCATGTTATAAGGATCTTTCTGGGGTAGGTGTTAGGATGGATTGGAGGGGTGAGATGGGAGGTCAGAGCCCAGAGAGGAGCCCCCAAAAGGCCAAAAGCAGTGGTCAAGGGTTAGAATTCTATTTTGAGTCATCATTGCCTTGTCTGTCTCTACAGCTGCCATTGCCCCCAAGGATGACCTTTTCTATGGCTTCCTGAAACCTTGGCTGGGTGAGTTCAGGACTGTGTAGGCTTGAGGGAAGTGGGAATGGGGCATACATTTTCTTGGAATGTTTCAGAGTAATAGGAGAGACCCCTACCCTGTCTTCTGGGCCTAGGAGATGGGCTGCTGCTCAGCAAAGGTGACAAGTGGAGCCGGCACCGCCGCCTGCTGACACCTGCCTTCCACTTTGACATCCTGAAGCCCTACATGAAGACATTCAACCAGTGCACCAACATCATGCATGTGAGTCCCAATGTTTCATGGGAAGAGGTTGTCCTAGAAGTGAGATGGCCAGGCTCCAACTCGTGGGTGAGCCATGTGATGTCACGAAGCCTCACTTCCTTTATCTATACTGGGCTTGTAGTGAGCATACAGCTAGGTCATTGTCAGCCAGGCTTTCGGTCTGTGGTCTTTGTGCCCATTTGCTATCTCTCTCTTCCAGGCTAAATGGCGGCGCCTGGCAGAGGGTCCAGTGGTCTCCCTTGACATGTTTGAGCATGTCAGCCTCATGACCCTGGACAGTCTTCAGAAATGTGTCTTCAGCTACAATAGCAACTGCCAAGAGTGAGTGTGGCCTACCTGGGGAAGACAGAACCAGCTGCTTTATAAAGGGCAAGGTGGTGGGAGGAGAAATTTGATGTAAGGCACCTTTGGGTTGCTGGTGCTCTGCCAGACAGGCTGTGTGGTTCCAGGAAACTGACATCATGCCTCTGAGCCTGTTTTCTTATTTCACCCTCCCTCAAAGAATCCTAATTCCATCCCCATAGTCATGGTGTGAGAATTAAATGAGATAATATAAGTCAGTGGCTTTGAACATAATATGTGCTCAGTAAATTCTAGTTTCCCTCATTCCTCTACAAAGACTATGTGGTCTTTGGAAAGTATCCCACACTTTCTGAGCCTCTGCTTCCTTGTTTAATGACAATCCCTGACTGTCTGAGAGGTGCTTTAAGAATAAAATGATGTTAGCACAGCCCTAGAACACAGTAGATGCTTAGTGAGTATTTGTTGAATGAATTAGTAAAATAACCATTGTCCTGGTTCGTTCGTTCATTCATTCATTCATTCATTCATTCATCAGATATTCACTGTGTACCTACTATGTGCCTGGCATTATGCTAGCTACTGGGAATATGGTAAGGAAACACACAAAAATCCCATTTCTTTGGAGTTTATAATCTAGGCAGGGATATAAGGAATAAGGGACATAATGAGTGTCAAGTTTGTAGCACATAGTAGGTCCTTAACAAAAGCTTCTGGCTTTGTTACTCTGGGCCTTGTAGGGGTATGTTTCAGTTGGGTAAGGTGGAGATGATCTTAGTGATTAATTACTTAAATCAGGAAATATTTACCGAGTGCCCACTATGTGCTAGTACTGGACTAGGCACTGTAAATACAGTGGTCATTAAAACAGAAAGAACTTGCTCTTCTGGAACTTATATGTTGGTGGGAGGAAAGCAATAACCACGAACAAAAAAATAAACCAAAAAGTTGACAGACTGTGATAAGTGTATGAAAACAAGCACACTTCAGGACCAAGGACAGCCTCTTGAACCACTGCCCCACTGATTCGTTGTTATTATTATTTTTTATCCTCGCCTGAGGATATGCTTTAATTGACAGAGAGAGAGAGAGAGAGAGAGAGAGAGAGAGAGAGAGAGAGAGAGAGAGAGAGATTAATGTGAAAGAAAAATATCAATCAGTTGCCTCCTGTATGCACCCTGATTGGGGATGGGACCCACAAACTAGGTATGTGCCCTGACTAGTAATTGAACCTGAAACCTTTTGGTGTATGGGATGATGCTCCAGCCAACTAAGCCACCTGGACAGGGCTGTTGTTATTGTTTTAATAACAACTTTACTGAGATGTAATTCACATACCATATCATTCACCCATTGAAAGTACACAATCCAACCATAATCAATTTTAGAGTATTTTCACCAAAAAGAAATCTTGTACATTTTATTTTATTTTATTTTACTTTAGTTTGGTATATGACCTTTATTGAGCTTATCCACCAGAGTGGAAATAATGTCTGTAACCAAATGTTTGTTAATGTAACTTTTGCATCATAATTAAAATTCAAACAGTTTTGAAAAAACAGTCATCTCAATCAAAACTCACTACATCAGAATCAATAGCTTCTTTGACGCCACAGTAACACTTAAATATGGTTAAGACTCAAATGCAGAAATTTGGTTGATAGAAAAGCTAACTAAACTTCCAACTTGCTCATATAGAATTACAAAAAGGTAAAATTGTTTTTCACAGAGATATAGTCCACTGGAATCACCAACACTGGACAGCTGTATTTAGACTATTGAGAATAAGAAATCCAAGCACCCTTTAGATAGTCCTCTGCTGTCCTTTCTTCCTGAACAGAGGTTTGTGGGTGTGTGGAATGACACTATCACCAGCAACTGTAGCCTTGATGAAAAAGTCCAATCCTTCATCTCCGTGAATAGCAAGTTGCAAATGAGGAGGGGTAATTATGCTGTACCTTTAAGTCTTTTGATATATTTCCTGTCAATTCAAGTACATGTGTGGTGAGGTGCTCCAGGATGACTGCGCTGTAGACAGCAGCAGTCACACCCACACGTCCTTGGCTGGTCATCCTGGAATCTAGGTGTGGATAAATACAGCCCACCATAAACTGTAAGCCAGCTCTCTGTGAGCAAGAAACCACCATTGTCTTGGCCTTTCTGGGGTCCTTTCAGATTTACTGCCAGCCATTTCAAATTCTGCTGAAACTCAAACAACCACAAGGCAGAGATGGGACTAGGCAGACACCCAGCAACATCCTACCACCTACACTGTCACACTGTGATTCAAATTGCCCCTGCATATTTTAGCACTCCTGCACCCCCGTACCCACTTCTCCTCCAGGTGCAGGCAATCACTAATCTTCCTTTTGTATCTATAGATCAGTCTATTATGGAAATTTCATAGATGGAATTATACAGACTTTTGTGTCTGGTTTCTTTTACTCACCATATTGTTTTCAGATTTATCCATGTTGTAGTATGTATCAATAATTCATATTTTAAATTGCTGAATAATATTCTATTTACTGCATAGTAACACATTTTGTTTATTTAGTTATTTGTTGATGGACATTTGGGTTATTTTCACTATTTGGCTACTATGAATAAGGCTGCTATAAACATTCATGCACATGTTTTTATTTATTTTTTTAAAATATGTTTTTATTGATTTTTTTAGAGAGAGAGGAAGGGAGAGAGAGATAGAAACGATGTCAGAGAGAAACATCGATCAGCTGCCTCCTGCACGCCCCCTACTGTGGCTCGAGCTTACAACCCAGGCATGTGCCCTGACCAGGAATCGAACCGAGTCCTCTCAGTCCATGGGACAATGCTCAATCCACTGAACCACACAGGTTGGGCTCATGCACAAATTTTTGAGTGTATATATGTTTTGAATTTTCTTGGGTATATACCTTGGAGTGGAATTTCTGGGTTATATGATAATTCTGTGTTTAACTTTTAGAGGAACTGCCAGAATTTTTCCTAAAGTGGTTGCACCATTTTATGATCCCACCAGTAGTAGGCGAGAGCTGTAATTTCTCTGCACCCTCACAAATACTTGTGATTATTTGTCTTTTTGATTAAAGCCATCCTAGTCAGGGTGAAGTAGTATCTCATTGTGGTTTTGATTTGCCTTTCCCTAACAGCTAATGATGCTGAGCATCTCTTTATGTGTTTGTTGCTCCCCCTTTTTTTAACTCCTCACCTGAAGATATTTTTTTCCATTGATTTTTTTTTAAGAGAGAGTGGAAGAAAGGGATGGAGGGGAGAGAGAAACATTGATGTAAGAGAGACACATTGATTGGTTGCCTCCCATGCATGCCCTGATTGGGGCCAGGGATCAAACTTGCAACCCAGGCATGTACCCTTGAATGAGAATTGAACCTGTGACCCTTTGGGGCACAGGCTGACACTCTAACCATTGAGCAATACCAGCCAGGGTTGATGGCCATTTTTGCATCTTCTCTGGAGAAATGTCTGTTCATATCCTTTGCCCATTTTTAAATTGAAGTATTTTCTTTTCTATTATTGAGTTTTAATAGTTCTTTATATAGTTCAGATACAAGTTTCTCATCAGATACATGATTTGCAAATATTTTCTTCCACTCTGGGTTGCAGCAATTTAGTTTTAGTGATGTTACATCAATTTGGAAGTCCTCATTCCTCTTTGGGCCTGTTCTAACATGCACCAGGTTTTGGTTTTATTCAGGTATAGTGAGGCCGACAGATCAGAAAATGGTTGCCATTGAAAAAATAGTTCATTACTTACAGTTCCCAGGAGGGGAAATGACACATTACACAGGGCCCCATGGGGAAGCACCAGGAGAAAGCATGGTAAAAGCCTTTTTGGGGTGTTTCTAGGAATAAACAGGAAATGCAGGGTATGCAGGTTTAGGACTGGCTAGTTTGAATCATTTCAGTAGGCTCTGGGGTAAAAGGGTGCCCCTAGTTGTCCAGTACTTGTCCCTGCGTTGATTAAGGCAGGTGGAGTGGTGATAGGGGCTCAGTCCGATAAAGTTTGGAGTAGGGGCTATGGATTGGTTGGTTTGCAAAAGAAAGGTATGTTCCTGGGTGAGTCTCTAAGAACTGGCTAGTCCTGGGAGGGGCAGTGTCTCTAGTCAGCAAGGTCCCAGACGGTAGAGCATCAAGAATACAAAAAAATAAGAAAATATAATTAATCCAGGGCCTCGCTTTATCACCTACCCACTGGGAGAGGAAGCTTGTCCTAGGGAATGGGCCTACACTCATGGCCCTTCTTCTCCCTTGCAGGAAGATGAGTGATTACATCTCAGCCATCATTGAACTGAGCGCACTGGCGGTCCGACGCCAGTATCGCCTGCACCACTACATTGACTTTATCTACTACTGCACAGCAGATGGGCAGCGTTTTCGTCATGCCTGTGACACCGTGCACCGCTTCACCACGGAGGTCATCCAGGAGCGGCGGCGGGCACTACGCCAGCAGGGGGCTGAGGCCTGGCTCAAGTCCAAGCAGGGCAAGACCTTGGATTTCATCGATGTGTTGCTCCTGGCTAAGGTGAGGCTGGGCCCTGCCCAGGACGGCCCCTTCATGAGTTGCACGAACTGCCTAAAATACTGAATGTCCAAACTATCTTAGACATAGGATTTAGGCAGATGCAAAATATGTAAGACTTAACTATATTCATTTGCTAGGGCTTCTGTAACAAAGCGCCATATACGAAGTTGCTTAAACAGAAATTCATCTCAGTTCTGGACGTAAGAAGCCTGAGATCAAGGTGTCGGTTGGCAGAATTGGTTTCTTTTGAGGCCTCTCTCCTTGGCTTGTAAATGGCCATCTTCTCCTGCATGTTCACATGGTCTTCCCTTTGTGCAGGTCTGTGTTATCTCCTCTTCTTATAAGGACTCCAGTAGTATTGGATTAGGGCCCACTCTAATGAGCCCATTGTAATTTAATTACTTCTGCAACAGTCCTAGCTCCAAATACTCTCATATTATGAGGTCCTGGAGGTTAGGACTTCAACAAATGAGTTCTGGAAGTGGGCATGGGGGGAAAGACAATTTAGTCCACAACACTTACAAAGATGAAATACATGACCTTTCCCGACCAGTGTGGCTCAGTGGTTGAGCATCGACCCATGCACCAAGAGGTCGCTGGTTCAATTCCTGGTCAGGGCACATGCCCAGGTTGTGGGCCTGATCCCCAGTGGGGGACATGCAGGAGGTGGCCAATCGATGTTCTCTCTCATTGATGTTTCTATCTCTCTCTCTCCCTTCTTCTCTCTCTAAAATCAATAAAGAAAAAAAATACATGACCTTTAAGACACGTAACTTGCAGAGATAGGTGGTCACCCATTTGTGGTGCTTCTGTGGAATTTCTGAGTAGCACTTGGGTTCTGGATTCAGACAGTCTTAGACTCCAGTTCTGACTCCGAAGTTTCAAGGATGCTTGGCCTTAGTCATCTGACTCTTCCTTCTGAGCCTCAGTGATGTCATTTATGATGTGATGATCACATGACTTGATCACGATTGTTGGTGCTAGGAGATATTCAAGAAACACAAACCCCTTTCTTCCACTCACCTTTGACTCTCCTTCCCTGTTTTCGTCTTTCTTAGATAAGTTGCATGCCTCCATCTTCCTAGAATCTTTTCCCTTGCAGCTGGCTTAAGAGGGGGGGGGCATCTTTGACTCTGGAGGAGCCCCTAGCATATAGAGGGTGGGATGAAGTGGGCTGAGCCTTGTCTACTGCCCATTTCAGGATGAAGATGGAAAGGAACTGACAGATGAAGACATCCGAGCTGAGGCGGACACCTTTATGTTTGAGGGTGAAGACGTGCGGCAAGGCTGGGGGAGGATGGGGGGGGCACCCATTGTCTGAAGATAGCACCTCTGCTATCTCCAGGAAGCCTCCATTTGAGCTCATCTGCCTGCAGGTCATGACACAACATCCAGCGGGCTCTCGTGGGTATTGTTTAACTTGGCCAAGTACCCAGAGTACCAGGAGAAGTGCCGGGAAGAGATCCAGGAAGTCATGAAAGGCCGGGAGCTGGAGGAGCTGGAGTGGTCAGTCTGGGGTCATGGGGATTGTGGGGGCAGGTTGAGCCTTGGGTGTGTATCTCTCTGCTCTACCACTTATTGACTTTCTGACCTCAAACTAGTCACTTAAGATTCTTGAATTTTAATTTCTTTAACTGTAAAACAGGATGACAACAATGTATCTGCCTAGCTCATAATGCAGGAGTTCTTAGTTAGTAGTGTCTTAGTTAGCACTGGTGGCAATAACGCTGCATAACAAACAGCCTCTAAACTCACGGGTTTGCAGCAAGCATTTATGTTATATCTTGCTCTTGCCTGCACATATTTCTTGCTCTTGTCTGCATATTACTCTTGTTACTGCTGGGTGATACTGAATTGAATGGGGTTGCTTCCGAACTGAGGTTTGGATTTAGGTCTGTTCCACATATCTCCTCATTCTCCTTGAACCAGCAACTGCTCTGGGTGTGTTTGTCTCAAGGTAGACTTCAGAAGCACAAAGTGCCACACACTTTTGAAAAAATGTGTGACATTGATTAATAAAATTATATAGGTTTCAGAGGTACAATTCTTTTTTTTTTTTATCCTCACCCGAGGACATTTTTCCATTTTTTGTTCAGATAGAATGGGGGGTGGGGGGGAGAGAGAGAGAGAGAAACATCAATGTGAAAGGGACACATCGAGTAGCTGCCTCCTGCACCACCCAACCAGGGCTGGGGACAAACTGCAACCGAAGTATATGCCCTTAGCAGGACCCGAACCTGGGTCTCTCTGGACCGCAGGCCGACGCTCTAACCGCTGAGCCAAACCGGCCAGGGCCAGAGGTACAATTCTTAATATATCATCTGTATGTTGTATTGTGTGTTCACCACTCCAAGTCAAGTCTTCTTCTATCACCACTAAGAGCCACACAACTTTCCCTGGCCATTTTGGCTCAGTGGTTAGAGTGTCAGCCCGCAGACCAATGAGTCATGGGTTCGATTAAAGTCAAGAGCACATACCTCAGTTGCGGTTTATCCCCGGCCCTGGTCAGGTCGTGCGGGAGGCAACCAGTCAATGTGGCTCTATCACATCGATATTTCTCTCTGTCTCTCACTCTCCCTCCCCCCCACTCTATCTGATGATAAATAGAAAAATATCCTTGGGTAGGGAATAAAAAAAAAAGAACCACACAACCTGCCTGGCCAGTGTGGCTCAGTGGATTGAGCATCATCCCATGGACTGAGAGGACTTGGTTCGATTCCCAGCCAGGGCACGTGCCCAGGTTGCAGGCTTGATCCCCAGTAGGGGGCATACAGGAGACAGCCAATAGATTTTCTCACTCCCTTCCTCTTCCTCTAAAAAATCAAATAAAGATATATATATCTCCACACAACTTAAAAACAACTTAAAACCTCTGCTTGCATTGTAACATTCCATTACCTACAAAGCAAGTCGTGTGGCCAAGTGCAACACAATTGGGATGGTAAATATATTCTACCGATCTAAGTGGAAGGCACTGAAGAATCACAGGGCACAGGGCACAGGTGTATAATTCAAATACAAGAGGAAGTGAAGAATCAGGAACAATAATCCAACTGGTTTCATATATGTGTGTGTAGAGCTGCTTCTAGGTGAAAACACAGCATTAAATAACAATGAACAGTGAGAAAGTGGTTCAATGTCAAACTTTCAAATTATGAACTCAGGGAGAAACTCTCAGTTGGGTGCTATCAGATCTTCAACACCTTGCTAACTGCTTTTAAAAAATATCCTCACCCAAGGACATGATTAGAGAGAGGAGGGAGGGAGGGTGAAAGAGAGGGAGGAGAGGGAAAGGGAGAGAGAGACACACACACAGAGAGAAACAGATGTGAGAAAGCAACATTGATCAGTTACCTTCCATATGCTCCCCAACAGGGAAACAAACCTGCAACTCAGGTATGTTCTCTGACCTGGAATTGAACAGGCAACCTTTCAGTGCATAGGACAATGCTCAACAAACTGAGCCATTCTGGCCAGGCACTAAGTGACTTTTTAGCAAAGGGAGAAGATGCTCCAGTTTCTAGGAGATGGTGCCTAGTGAGAACTTAAAAACTCTCTTCTGGTTTCCCAGTGATGCTTATGTTTATGACACTTTTATGCCAGGCATGCTGTTTGCCCTTTATTTATTTTTATTTTATTTATTTATTTATTTTTTTAATCCTCACCCGAGGATATTTTTCCATTTTTTGTACAGATAGAGTGGGAGGGAGAGAGAGGAAGGGAGAGAGAGAGAGAAACATCGACGTGAAGGGACACATCGAGTGGCTGCCACCCGCACAACCAACCAGGGCCGGGGACAAACTGCAACCGAAGTACGTGCCCTTAGCGGGAACCGAACCCGGGTCTCTCCGGACCGCAGGCTGACGCTCTAACCGCTGAGCCAAACTGGCCAGGGCTGTTTGCCCTTTAAAGTAGCAACATGACGTTTCTTTGAAAGAGAACCTGTTGGTGTAAAGAAAACCATCTAGATCATGAACCAAGAGTTATAATTAATCCAATTTTGGCCTCTGAAAAAAGGTAAATAATAGTAAAGAAAGAGGATGTATGGGTTTTTTAATACTGAAATTGATCCACACAAGCTGGTAAATTGCTGCTGCCTGGGCCCTCTTGGCCTTCCTGGCACATCCTCCAGTGCCCCTGATTTCCACATAATTCATCAGTTAAAGGGTTAATGCTGGGCCCCCAGAAACCTGCTAGCGCTGTTCTGATTTGCTGGGAGTCAGATGCTGTGGGTTAGTTGTGTATGCAGGGCACAACCTCAAATGTCAGAAGTTGGAGCAAGTCTGAGATCCTGGATGTTTCCTGTGTAGTTGCTCCTGAGTGAGTGTGTGTGGCCTGGCCTCCAGTCACCCACGCCCCCATTCCATGCTCCCCAGGGATGACCTGGCTCTGCTGCCCTTCACCACTATGTGCATCAAGGAGAGCCTACGCCAGTTCCCACCTGTGACCCTGGTCTCCCGCCGCTGCACAGAGGACATCAAGCTCCCAGATGGGCGGATCATCCCCAAAGGTACCCACATGTGCTCCCTGCCTCCTGGCTGCTCTATTGCTCATGGGGTCTGGACATGCTCACCCCAGATGTAACATCCCTGTAGATGGGGTGGCTGTCTGTGTGGCTGTTGCTTCTGGGTGATGGGGGAGACAGTGTGTAGGGGGGAGATAGAGGTGAGTGAGTCTAGGTGTAAGGAAGCAGGAGTATGACAGGGTGAGCCCTGTGTAAGTACAGGTAGGAGAAGGTTGGTTTCATTCAGTTGCCAGATGTCCCCTGGAGACCCAGCCCTGTCCTGAGTGATGCTGGGGATCTAGAGAGGCCTCATCCTCAGGACCAGGCTGAGGAATACAGCAGGGCACAGACTTTCCCAGACACATGAGGTCAGGGCCGGGCTAAAGGGAGAGATGGGGGCTGGAGCAGCCCAAAAGGAGTGGTGGCTCTACCTGAGGAAGAATGTAGGGAGGGCTGCTTGGAAGAGGAAATATATGAGGTGAAAGAGTGCAGATGGTGAAACGCCTCCAATGCCAGATTGAGGCACTTGAACTTGATCCTCAGGGCAGCAAGGAGCCATGGGAGGTGTTTGAGCTGAGGAGAAGAAATGCCAGATATGCCTCCTCAGGGGGACATACAACAGAATTTGTCAGGGAAGGATGGGTGGGAAAGGTCGCAGATGGCTCATAGGACACCATGGCTCCAGGGAAAGCAGGGAGGGGGGTAGGTCTCCACAGGAGGCCCTGATTCCCTTCTGCCCCACTGACTTCACCCCTCCCCATAGGAATCATCTGCCTGGTCAGCATCTATGGAACCCACCACAACCCCATAGTGTGGCCTGACTCCAAGGTAAGCTCCTCCTCTCCCTCAGTTTCCTCTTCAGAAGGGGCAGTCCTGGGGCAGCAGGGCCTCCCCTGCCCTGCTTCCCAGGAAGCCAGACATCAGGGCTGGATGCAGGACTTGGGTGCCTTGCCCATTTATTCATCTATACACTGTGAATTCATTAGGTCCACAAATATTTATTGACCTCCTGCCAGACCCTGTGCTGGGTACTGAGGACAGAGAGAGATACTGTCATTACCCTCATGGAACTCACAGTGAAGTGCAAAGGAAGAAGAGCAAAAATAAGATGATTTGGGGTATTGGTAAATGTACAAAGGAAATAAAAAATGGAGTGGGGCTGGGAATAGGGAAACACTCTAGCTCATATGGTGAGGAAAGATCCTGTGGAGGAAGAGATGTTTGAGCTGAGACCTGAAAAGTGTGAAGAGCGTGAAGTGTGTTCCAGGCAGAGTTAACAGCAAGTTCAAATACCCTGGGGTGGGAATGAGCCAGGCATGCCTGAACAGCAAAAAGAGGCAGTGTGGCTGGATTGTAATGTGGTTCTTTTTCTAGTTGGGCTGCTCTCCAGACACTGAGGGAAGTGGCCAAGCTGATATGGGTGGGCCAGTGCCCAGACTCACCAAGGCTGCTCCTCTTTAGGTGTACAACCCCTATCGCTTTGACCCGGAAAACCCACAGCAGCGCTCCCCGCTGGCCTTTGTGCCCTTCTCCGCAGGCCCCAGGTAACTATTCTATGCCCCAAGTCCAAGCCAAGTGTAGGAGGAACACCCAGACCAGTGGAAAGTCAGGGATGTGCCTATCAGGGACAGAGACCACATCCCAACCAGATGTCCTATCTGCCAACCTGGCACATACTTCGTGTCCTTAATGCACCCATAAGCCCCCAAATCAGATCTGCGATAGCATCCCTAGGTATTAAGCGTAACTACTGTGTGCCAGGCCCTGAGTTCTGGGAACACAGGCTCCCAAACAGCTATGATGCATTGTCATGTTTTGCAAATGAGGAAATTGAAGCTCGGATGGGGTGGTCATTTACCCAGTCCCAGGGACCCTGCTCACACAGTCGTCCTTCCTCCAGGAATTGCATCGGCCAGAGTTTCGCCATGGCCGAGATGCGCGTGGCAGTAGCGCTGACGCTACTGCGCTTCCGCCTGAGCGTGGACCGAACACGCAAAGTGCGGCGGAAGCCGGAACTCATCCTGCGCACCGAGAACGGCATCTGGCTCAACGTGGAGTCTCTATCTCCACAGGCCTGAACGCAGTTGCTCCGTGGCGGAGCCCGGAGGCCCAGAGGCCCCGAGGCCCCGAGGCCCCAGCCCCGCCCAGAGGCCTAGGCCCCGCCCCCTAAAGACCGGGCCCCGCCCTCGAAGTCCTGTGGGCATAGGCCACGCCCCTCGAAGTCCAGGCTCCGCTCCAGGGGGCGGGGGTAAGAGTCCTCCATTGAGAAGCCTGTAGGTGCAGGTCACGCCCCTCAGGACAAGGCCCCGCCCATTGAGGTCCAGGTCCCACCCCCTGAGTGCTCATTTCAGTCCTCTTGTTTGAGGACCAAGCTAGGCCACACCCCTGGGGCCCAGACCTCACCCCCAGCATCCCACGGATTCAAGTTTTCAGGCCCCACCCACCGAGCCTTCTGAGACCCTAAAACCAGACATCTAAGGCGTCCTAGATACAAGCCCGGCCCCAAGCGGATTCAAGCGGCTTTTACATGGAAGACTTGGGAGCTGGAGCCCGAAGTCAGAGCCTTGAACCTGGACATCACCTTCCTGAGGCCCTCCAGCTCAGATGGACAAACCTCTTAGGCATCAGGCTACATCTCGTGGCCCTGCTGTTTGCTTTTCTTGTTTTGTAAACTCAGATCCTCCCTCCCAAGCCCCTTCCTTCCTTCCTTACTCAAAGGCCCTTTGCTAAGGGTTTTGACTTTTTGTAGAATAAAAGCAAGGCATACCACCGTCTACCCTCTAGCCTGACCAGACACTGACATCTGGAGCCCAGCATGAAAATGAGGGGCCGTGGACAGTTGGGAGACAGCTGAGGAGTGTTGTAAGCTAGGAGGCTGGAAATCCATTTGTCCTCAGACAGTTTGTGTATTCATTTATTTTATCAACAGACTGCAATATTAATTGTCTGCTGGCACTAGGCCAGGAGCTCAGCCGACCTGATTCCTGCCCTCAAGAGGACTGGGGACACAAGTGTTGAGCAAATAATTCTACATATAAATATTTACTGAAACTTGTGACAAGTGTTCCAAGGGACAGGCCCTTGGTGCTGGGTGAGCATAACATTTTTTTATTCTCACCCAAGGACATTTTTTGATATTTTGTTCAGATAGAGTGGGAGGGAGAGAGAGAGAGAGAAACATCGACATGAAAGGGACACATCGAGTGGTTGCCACCCACAGGACCCAACCAGGGCGGGGGACAAACTGCAACTGAGGCATGTGCCCTTAGCAGGAACCTTACCCGGGTCTCTCCAGACCGCAGGCCGACGCTCTAACCGCTGAGCCAAACCGGCCAGGGCTGGATGAGCATAACATTTGGTGGGAGTGGCTCAGGGAGAGGTTCTCTGATGCTGAAGTGGGAGTAGAATTTGAGTGGTGACAAGGGAGAGAAAAGCATTCTAGGCAAAAGGAACAGCATCTGCAAATGTCCTGAGATGATGGGGAGCATGGTGTGCTCGAGGAACTCACAAGGAGCTAGGGTGGCTGGACCTGGGGAGTAGGGCAGAACAGAGGAAGGGTGGGCAGGGACCAATAGCATAGAAACTGTGGGCCATGTCACAGTTCAGGCTTTATTCTGAGAGCAATAAGGAGTTATTGCGGGGGTGGGGGTGTGTGAGCAGGAACAGGACAAATCATGATCAGATATGGGCTGGCAGGGAGCTGGCTTGGAAGGGAGTATGGGGGGCTGGAAATCCAAAGAAGGTGGGACAGGAAGTGTGGGGGCTGAGGGGAGGGAGGAAGTTAGGATGATTTCCAAATCTTTGGCTGGGGGAACTAGGTGGTGGAGTAGTTCCTGAAATAGTGATATAGAGGGCAGGGCAATGACAGTGTCCACAATAGTCACATTAATTCATCAAATTGAACATCTACTGTGAGTCAGGCTGTGTTTGAGCTCTTGCATAACTGACATTCTAGAAAGGGGAGCAGATAACAAATGCTTAATAAACAAATAAATAAATAAATTTACACAGGGCCTTGAAGCCATTGATTTTATTGTGAGAGAAACAGGGAGCCATAAAGGGTTCTGAGCTGAGGAGGTATAAGATTTGTCATACAGTCTGGCTGCTATGTTGAATAGTGACTGTGGAAGGCAAGGATAGAACTAGAAAGATGTGGTGGGGGTGACTACATTAGTCCAGAGATGAGAGATGACAGTAGTTCCAACCAAACTCGGGGCTGTACAGGTGAAGAGGGGCAATTGGATTCTTATGAGGAATGATTGTTTTATGAAGGTAGTCCTGGCAGGTTTGCCAATGGATGGAATGTGGGATTCATGAGAAGGGCAGGACCCCAGGTTCCCAGGTTTGAGCACCTGGAAAGATGGAAGAGCCATCAACTGAGACGGGCAATGCTGAATGAAGTAAGTTGTTTTTTGAGGGTGAGATTAGCATATCAGTTTGGGCCAGGAGAAGTTGGATTGTCAAGCTGGCAGTTGGATAGAAAGGCCTCAAATTTGGGAGAGTTCTGGGCTTGATATGCATTTGGGAAGCCTCAGTATTTAGATGGTGTTTAGAGCCCAAAGATTGGGTGAGATACCAGGATGTGTGTGTGTGTGTGTGTGTGTGTGTGTGTGTGTGTGTGTATGTGTGTGAAGGAGGGGTTTAAGGATCAAGCCCTGGGGTCTCCAAAGTTAATATAATAATGAGATTTAAAATTGATTGAGCACTTCCTGGGTGTCCTTCCCATTCAATATTCTCATTTAATTCTTACAGGTACTGTTATTATGAGATGGATATTGCTATTATCTCATTTAACAGGTGGAAATTGAGTTCCACAGAGTTAAATGACTTACCCAAGATCCAACAATGATATCCTTGGGACCACAGATGGGACCCTGAGTCCTTTTTTTATACCACATCCCTTGGGCCTCCTTGTCCTGCTTTGAGTCCCTAGACTCTCTTTGCCTTGAAGGGATATCAACAGAGATGGCATGGGGGTGGCGGGGTACATGGAGATGAGTTAAAGCTGGGCTGTCAATTCTGGGGCGCTCCCAGGTGGCGCGTGCCAAGATCATCGCTGGAATGCCTTGTCCAAAGTAGACAGTGGAAAACAGGCAGTCCTAGGCCCTGCAGGAGCCAACACCGGCTCTTGCTGACACTGCCTTTCTCACACTCCCATCTTTTTTTCTTTTCAATTTTATTTTTGTTACAGATGTTTCTCCTTTTTTACCCCATTGACACCCTCCCCCCATCCCTCCCACACCATCCCCAACTTTGTTGTCCATGTCCATTGGTTATGTGTACATGCATATAAGTTCTGTTGTTTATCTCTTCCCTCCCCCCACTACCCCCTCTTCTGAGGGTTGTCAGTCTGTACCCTACTTCCACCTCTCTGGGTCTATCCTATTCCTCAGATTGTTATGTTCATTATATTCCACAAATAAGTGAGGTCATGTGGTATTTGTCTTTTTCTGCTTGGCTTGTTTCGCTTAGGATAATACTTTCCAGGTCCCTCCATGTCATCTCAAAGGATAAGAGATCTTTCTTTCTTACAGCTGCGTAGTACTCCATTGTGTACATGTACCACAGCTTTTTTATCCATTCGTCTACTGATGGACACTTGGGCTGTTTCCAGATCTTAGCTATTGTAAATAGTGCTGCTATGAACATGGGGGTACATATATTCTTTCGGATTGGTGTTTCAGGCTTCTTAGGGTATATTCCTAGAAGTGGAATCACTGGGTCAAATGGCAGTTCAATTTTTAATTTTTTGAGGTAACACCATATTGTTTTCCATAGTGGGTGCACCAGTTTGCATTCCCACCAGCAGTGTACTAGAGTCCCCTTTTCTCCACACCCTCGCCAATACTTGTTTGATGATTTGTTGATGGCAGCCATTCTGACATGTGTGAAGTGATACCTCATTGTTGTTTTAATTTGCGTCTCTCTGATGCTTAGTGATGTTGAGCATTTCTTCATATGTCTCTTGGCCATTTGTATGTTTGGAGAGGTGTCTATTCAGCTCCTCTGCCCATATTTTAATTGGGTTCTTTGTCTTCTTTTTGTTCAGTTGTATGAGTACTCTATATATTTTGGAAATTAACCCCTTATTTGATGTATCATTGGCAATGATGCGCTCCCATACAGTGGGTTGCCTTTCCATTTTGATGGTTTCTTTTGCTGTGCAAAAGCTTTTTAGTTTGATGTAGTCCATGTGTTCATTTTCTCCTTTGTTTCTATTGCCTTAGGTGATGTATCAGTGAAAATTCTGCTGCATATGATGTCCGAAATTTTTTTGCCTACATTTTCTTCTAGGATTTTTATGGATTTACGAGTCACATTTAAGTCTTTTATCCATTTTTATTTTAATTTTGTGTATGGTGTAAGTTGATGGTCTAGTTTTATTTTATTTTTTGCATGTAGCTGTCCAATTTTCCAACACCATTTATCAAAAAGGCTGTCTCTACTCCACTGTATGCTGTTCCCTCCTTTGTCAAATATTAATTGAGCATAATGTCTTGGGTCCATTTCTGGGTTCTCCGTTCTGTTCCACTGGCCTATATGCCTGTTCTTGTGCCAGTACCAGGCTGTTTTGATTACAGTAGCTTTGTAGTATAACCTGATATCTGGTATTGTGACCCCCACCTACATTGTCCTTCTTTTTCAAGATTGCTGTGGCTATTTGGGGTCTTTTTTGGTTCCATAAGAACTTTTGAAGTATTTGTTCTAGTTCTGTGAAATATGTCATTGGTATTGTGATGGGGATTGCATTGAATCTGTAGATTGCTTTGGGTAATATGGACATTTTAATTGATGTTAATTCTTCCAATCCATGAACAAGATATGTACTTCCACTTTTTCTTTTTTTAATGTCCTGTGGTTTTTTACAAATAGGTCCTTTACTTCTTTGGTGAAGGTTATTCTTAGGTATCTTAATTTTTTACCACGATGGTAAATGGGATTGTTTTTTCAGTTTCTCTTTCTGTGAGTTCATCATTAGTGTATAGGAATGCCATTGATTTCTTGACGTCAATTTTGTATCCTGCTACTTTGCCAAATTCATTTATTAAGTCTGGTAGATTTTTGATAGAATATTTAG